CCCCCACCAGCTCCTGGGCGCTGCACAGGGCAGCCACCACCGCCTCCTTCATGCCAGGTACCATCACCTTCTCCCAGGCCTCAGCGTGCCCCGCTCGCTGCAGGTAGATCTGGAACTGGTGGCTGGACCAGATCAGGTCAGGGGGCAGCTTGGGGTGCCGGCCCCTAGACAGCCTCCAGTGCTTCTGGATGGAGACATTGCAGAGGTGCCGGGAGCTGGTGTGGCGAGAGCAGGGACGGGTCAGTGCGGTGTGGGGGTACTGGGTGTGCAGCACCGGGGTGGGGGGCACTCACCGGTGCAGGCAGTGCAGGGAGAAGGGCCGGGAGCAGAAACGCACGTAGCTGTCGCCGTAGAACCAGACGGTGAGCGGGTTCCAGTCCGTCACCAGGAACCATTGCCGCAGGTCAAACTTGGTGCCCAAGATGAGCAGCGGTCGCTCCACGTATTTCTGCACCACCCATTGTCCCGGCTGTACTGAGGGCGCCGTGCATTTCTCTGTTAGCTCCAGCACCTTCTCCAGTCGTGCTGAGCAGGTGATGCCTGTGAGCGGGGACACGTGGTGCCAGTGAGACCACTCCTGCCCGGGAAGCCTGTGCCCAAACCCTCTTTTCCCCTTGGCTTCACCTCTGCCACGGGACTTGGCTCCGGGCTTGATTATCCACAGATTCTGGATGCCCTCCATGTGGAGCTGGGGCAGCGGTGCCTGGAGCTTCCCCCTCCCCTGCTCGTGCTGCAGGCCACTGGGTGCCAGCCTGGTCTGCTTCCTGTAGGCGGTGACATAGGGGGCTTAGCACCAGCACTGCCATGCTGTGTGCCCCCCCCAACCCGTCCCGCCCTGCACGCACTGCACCACACGGTAGTACTCCTGCAGGAAGCAGTCCCACTCAGCATCAGTGACACGGAGCACTGGGGAGGCCCAGTCGATGTCATTGTGCTCTAGGCTGTCCAGCTGCATCCTGCAAAGCTGCAGTGCGGTCTCCAGCAGCTCGGGAGGAGATGGAGGTGCTGGACCTGCCGGGAGTGGTTTGGGCTGAGGGTCATGGCGGGTGGGCG